AAGACGCTTCTTTACTTTTCGAACCATTTCTGCTGATGTTGCTGTTTTCTTCCGTCCACTTCCTTGACGTCAGGTTACGCTACCGTATCATGGTAACGAGCGATGGTGCGAGACACAAAAGATTTATTCACATTTAAATGCTGGAGTGCTCTAACGATAGCCACTTGTGGTTTTCCAGTCAAATATAAAGAAATCACACTATCACGCTTGAATTCCATCACGAATAACTTTTTTTCTGGAAAATGCTCACCAAAATGCTTTTGTATGCTTGTCAACAATATAATGAGCTGTCACTGGAATATTTTTAACAGCTGTCGGACAAGTGGGTTAGAAATGACAGCAGTCTGAAATTGGTTGCAGTTTTTTCATATCACATCTAATCTCCTCAGTGAAGCTACAATAAAATTTGGACAAATTAAAAAATCATTCTTTAAGGTATTGAAGATCATTTCATTAAAAATTCATTTTAAAAAATGCACTTTAGAAAAATTGTTCTATTTTCAAAATAATTATCTTTTCCATTTAACACCTTAATGACAAATAAATAGACTTTCAAAGCAGATCAATGATCATCATCTGTTCACACCACAGTGCCGAAGTGGTCAATTCGAGCAAATTACTTTACGATTTAAAATAAAATTAAAGTGTTGAAAAGTTTTTTTTTTTTGTTTTTGCTTTATCACGGAATTCCTGAAACCCATAAATGAACCACACTTTCCTCTGCCCCTTGCAGCTAGGTAGGATTTTATGACAAATGAACATCATCTAATGAACATCTAGCTGGCCCGGTCTCACAGTTTCAAATTGATACTGGGAAAAAGATCGTAAAAAATTTTACAATATTCTCATTTTCCTATCTATCGTCCAAATGGACAATAAAAGTGCAAACACACAAACATAGGCTATGGCAAGCATGAATTCAATTAAACCCTAAAATAGAATTCCTTAAAGGTATTATTTTCTATTTTCTTTTTTGTTTTAAAGAAATAAAGACCTGTAACGATGATTGGTGCAATAAAAGTTTTTTTGTTAATGCTCGCACTTGCCACAACCACATATGTGTTCAGGTGGTTTGTCAAACATCATCACTATCGCCAACACCACCATCACCACCACCATTGATGACCACTCTTTTAATTGTCTCTAAAACCCATTTTTAACTGCCACACTTTAATGATGGGCGCTATTTAGATGCCGCACACACAAAAACACTCCGAACCGTGGAATATAGTTTATCATAGGACAAGATCTATTGTGGCTTATTTAGCTAACCAAAACAGGACAATATGAACTACAATAACAATCTCGGAGGTCTTCTGTTCATGGAAACCATTCATAGTGAAGTGAAGTCGTTTTGAGAAATCAAAACCCCAATATGGGGAATAAGCATCAGAAGGTCCTTCATAGTAGGAACACTCATGATAGAATCTACATTGATACCAAGTAAAAAAGCAACTAAGTTCGGCAGAGCCGAACTTTTAAAAAACTTCCACCATTTGGAAAGAGCTGGAAAAATACCGTTTAAATGAAAACCATTATATAGAGGTTATACGAAGACAAGGACCTGAATACGCTATTGTCAAAGACTGTAGTACCCATTAGGACCTTTAGGACCATTATGAAATACGGAATTTAAAACAATTCCGTTGAATAATGTCTCTAATATCATCAAATTACCAAAAAAAAGAGGTATCGTTATATGTGGGGTATACGAAGACGGGGACCTGCTAGGATAATTGTCTGTTATAGGTTAAAGTATCAATTACGAATTTCAAATACGATATATGAAACAATTCCGGTGAATAACGTCGCTAAAATCATAAAAAATATAGAATATCGGAAGGTATCGATATATGGTTGCTATACGAAGACGTGGACCTGCATACGCAATGTTTTGTCAGAGGCTGTAGTACCCATTATGAGCTTTCAATTTTAAATAATTCCGGGATCTCTAATACCGAATATTGGGAGGAACCGTTATATAAGGGCTATACGAAGACGTGAACCTGTCTAAGTAATTTTTATACCCTCCACCATTGTATGGAGGGTATATTAAGTTTGTCCTTCCGTTTGTAACACCTCGAAATAAACATTTTAGACCCCACAAACTATATATATTCTTGATCAGCATACAATTCTATGTCGATTTAACAATGTCCGTCTGTCTGTGGAAATCACTCTAGCTTCCGAACGAAATGAAGTAAGTTGATAAAAATTTACTCAAATGTGTATTATGTCTACAGGACTTTTGGTATTGAAAATGGGCCATGGTAAGTTTACGTTTTGGTATAGCCCACATATAACGGTACCTCCCGATATTCGGTATTTTGATGATTTTAACTACATTATTCGCCGATTTTTATACCCTACACCACAAAGTGGTCAGGGTATTATGTCTTTGTGCATTTGTTTGTAACAGGCAAAAGGAAACGAGATAGACCCATAGTTCCTTTTGATGATCTGCATAGAATCACATTCTGAGTCGATTTATGCATGTCCGTCCGTCCGTCTGTCTGTCCGTCTGTCCATGTATTTTTGTAAACAAAGTACAGATCACATTTATTGTCCGATTGAGATGAAATTTTCCAAACAACCTATTGAAATTAGAGATAATCGGTAAAAATTTATATATCTTCGTCCGATTTGCCTTTTATTGTACACCAAATGTGTAATATCAGCCCGAATTGTATGGAATTTTGCACATACAACCAAATTAGGCCTGAAAATAAGTATATCTATATCTATAAAAGAGGAAAATGTTTGTTTGTAATTTATGGACTTGAAAACCGCTGAATAGATTTTCCTGAAAATTTCCATATATACTGCAACATCGCCTGAAAGTAACATAGGCTATATACATTTTTGAATTTCCACTTGGAACTGGAGATATAGCATCAGAATCGGAGGTACCTCCCAAAAATTTAGTTTTTATATGCACATATCTATTGATTGGTTGAAGATACAGTCTCCAAATTTGGAATACGTAACGGAATTTGGAACAAAAATAAGTTTGCCAAATTATATTGTAATCGGTTCAGATTTGGATATAGCTCCCATATACATTTTCGGCCGATTTCATGTATTTGGTGGACCAAACACGACATGTATTTCAATTGTAATGAAATTTAAAATAAGTAACGGAATTGGGAGCCAAAATGAATTTGTCAAATTAAATTGAAATCGGTTCAGATTTGGATATAGCTCCCATATATATTTTCCGCCGATTTCACATATTTGATGCACAAAACACGATACGTATTTCCGATTCCAACGAAATTCGGCATGAGTGGCTAAATTTGGTACAAAAATAAATTTGACAAATTATATTCAAATACGCTCAGATGTGATTATAGCTCCCAAATATATACTCAGCCGATTTCACATATTTGATGCACCCAAAGCGAGAGAGACAAAATCTGGCACCAGCAAAAATTGCCAAATTATATTGAAATCAGTTGAGGTTTGGATATAGCTAACATATATATTTCGGCCGATTTCATACATATTATGCACCAAACACGATATATATGACCGATTCCAATGAAATTCAGAATGTGTGGTGGAATTTGGTTATAATGATAAATGTGATAAATTAATTGGAAATTAGTTAAGATTTGGATATAGCTCCCATATATATATTCTCGGCCGATTTCACATATTTGACGCACCAATTTCAATGAATTATGAAAGGTGTGGCGGAGTTTTGTGTAAAAGTATTTTTTTTAAATTATATTTAAATCGGATCAGATTGGGATATGATTTTAATAAGAACCATTGACCCACAACGCCTTAGGCTAACACTAAAAAACAACACAGCAATTTATTTGAAATACGCTTATTACGGCGAAGTATGTTGCTATCTCGAATTCACTAATTGCGATAGAAAAACCACTCTACTTAAAAAAATTGCAGTTTCCTGCACGCTTGGTATTTGCTATGAAATAAATAAATCCAAAGTACAAACCCTTCGTGTATGCATGTCATGTTACTGCTTTTGTAACGATTTTGTTTATTAACGCATTAAATTAGTGCAATATTTTTTTTTAATTTTTAAATTTGTTTTTCTTTATCCAACATATATTGGTAAATAAAATTTTGAATGCATATAAAATCAAAAGGGGTAGCGAAGCGCACCGGGTTCAGCTAGTATATATATATTTTTCATCCGATTTGATATTTTTGTCCTCCGCAGCCGTAATATGCACTCTGTAACAACAATATTTGGGTAAATATAGCAAATACAGCTCAGAAATACATTTGCTAAATTTTATCGAGATCGGTTCAGATTTGGATATAGCTCCCAAACGTCTAATATTTGTCCAAATGGGATGGAATATGGCACTTACGACCGAATTGAATCTAGAAGCTAGTTCGGCCCGGCCGAGCTTACAGCTTTTTTACTTGTTATTACTTTAAAGTGTTTTAAAGTCACAAGTTTCCATAAAAATACAATTTCACTTCCAAAAACAAAAGTGGTTTCAAACCGAAAAAAACCGATTTAGTTTTTCTGTAGAAGCTAAATAAAAAAATTAAAATCACATTCGTACCGAATTCGTCCCTGTGACACGCCTGTATAACTCTTATAAAATGTGAAAAAGCATCTGATTCGTTTTAAACTTCGCCCTACTAAACTTCGCCTCTACTATCAAAAGAACTGGTGTGAAGATGATACATATCGACCCGACCACTTCTGGTATCACCCACACAAAGTGTAACAATTGTCAGGATTTATACATTTATATCAAACATAGGTCAGATACGAAATTGACAATATTTGCCCACATAAAGGGTCAACAGTTTCAACAATCATAACACAAGGCTGCAAGTATACATATGTCGGCAAAGCTGACTGATACTATTTACCTTCTTGAAGAGGTATTTGGGTATTAGCTCAATATTGGATTAATGAGAATTTTGGCATAAAAAATTAAAAGGAATTCTATTTAAATCCCAATTAAAAGCATTCTTAAAAATAATTTTTTTCCGAAAAAAAACACCACTTCTTCCGCCTTTAATGCCGCTTGGTTACATTTCCAAAACATGGAGAATTATTTGTAAACAATTGATTCAATTCGAATAAATTCAAATATGTCGAAAAGAACGTTGCCAATATACCGAAAATCAGCACACCCATTGACAGAGACAGGTCGCACTGGAATCGATTGAATGTGTACACGGTGCGCAGCCAACATATCTCCCACATTGCGGCCAGTGTACGTCTCGAACTGCGATCAAAATGTGGTGGTGGTCCATCCATTGGTTCATAATTCAAATCCAATGGTAGGCTGCCGTAAGCTGCTTCGGTGGCTATTCTTTGATGGCAACGTTCCAATTGCACCATTCTTCTGTACAGCAAGGGTGGCAATATAAAGACCAATGGGCCGGTTATTGTGCCACCAACAATATCCATTAGGGCATCAAAACTCGGTAGGAATTCGGATATTATTACTTGCAGTGCCACCACTGAGGTGCGTACGGCAACGCGCTTCAACGAGAAATCTAGAGAGCAAATAAAGCTAATAGTTTTCATTTTAAATTCTCTAAATGAGTTCGAGATTCTCTTACTTTCTGAAATCTTAAAGAAATTCTCCAATTGCAAAAATAATGCCGCACTGGCAGCCGTTGTAGAGAAACATAACTGCAAAGCCATCAGCACCAGTAAGATGTAAAGGGGCACACTGCTGGGCAAGGTTTCCAAGAGATTTTCCGCAATCATAGTTCCAAATTTGTAGGCAGCAATGACGGAGCCAATTATCGCCATGGAGCAGGTAACTAGAAATTAAAATATAGGAATGTAAGTATTGGATAAAATAGGAAAAAATGTAAGTTTGGATAAATGTTGGCAAAAGCGATTATCCCTTGACATGACCTACGACAAAACAAGCAACATCAACAACTGAAATCACTATATACAGGGTGAAATAAAAAAGCTGCAACAAAGTCAAACCCATATTTTTTTACATTTTTTTAAATTTTATTGAATGAAACCAAAGAATGTCGGAAATAGAATCAAATTTTAGAATAAGTTTAGATTTGTTCGAATTGGTAACCTTTGGCACGAATTATGGCCTTTAACCGGCCAATAAAAGCGTCACACGCAGCTCAAATTTCCGGCGAAGCGCTTGCTTGAAGTGATCGACACTTTGGTATTTTTTAGTGCCAACCTTGCTTTCCAAAATTCTCCAGACACAATAGTCCAACGGATTGGAATCCGTAGATTTTAGTGGGATTAACCATTCTTGGGTGGTTCGTGCTGAATCATGTCCAAGGTCTGCGACCAAAATGTTTGTGGGCCCAAGGCATTTATTCTGATGCTACGGTCGTTTAATACGAGCGAAGAGCGACTATCGGCTGTTATGGCGGCCCACACCATCACCATGGCTTGCGGTTGAGTTCTGGTGGCCAACCGAAGGTGCACATTTTCAGCTGACCTCTTTGGCAAGTAAACACGATCATTTTGTTTGTTTACAAACTGCTGGACTATGAATTTTTTCTCATCGGAGAAAACCAAATTCGGCAATTCACCACTTTCGGCCAAGCGAAGCAACTCTTTAGCTCCTTTGAGTCTATTTTCCTTCTGTTGCGGTGTAAGTTGTTGGACTTTTTCAATATTTACCGAATGGAATATTGCGATATGTTCAGCTCACGAGTCATTTTTTGGCCACTACGACGCGAGTTTCGATCAAGTCGCTCCTTTACTTTTCGAACCATTTCTGCTGATGTTGCTGTTTTCTTCCGTTCACTTTCTTGACGTCGGGCTACGCTACCAGTATCACGGTAACGAGTAATGGAACGAGACACAAAAAAATTTATTCACATTTATATGCTGGAGTGCTCTAACGATAGCCACTTGTGGTTTTCCAGCCAAATATAAAGAAATCGCACTATCACGCTTGAATTCCATCACGAATAACTTTTTTTCTGGAAAATGTTCACCAAAATGCTTTTGTACGCTTGTAAAAAATATAATGAGCTGTCACTGGAATAATTTTAACAGCTGTCGGATGAGTGGCTTAGAGATGACAACAGTCTGAAGTTGGTTGCAGTTTTTTCCATCTCACCCTGTATGAAATTAAAAACACTCCAGACTTAAACAATTAAAATATTAAATGTAAGAAAAACGATCGAATTTCATCAGCATGGCCGGCATATACGTATACCCTACAACACTATGTGTTGGGGGTATTATAAGTTTGATTGGACCAAAAATTATGTAACACCTCGAAATATTGGTTTCCCACATAGCAAAGTATATATGGATCTTCCTATCTCGCCGAGCTGAGTCGATCTAGCTATGTATGACCGTCCGTCCGTCTGTTCATGTTAATTTGTAATCACTCTACAGGTCGCAATTATGGCCCGATCTTCACGAAATTTGAATGGAGGTGGGGCTAGGGTGAGAATAGAACCCTATTTCTTTTGGAGATGATCGCATAATATTTAGGGGTTGAAATTGACCAAAAACTGCAAAAATTCTGATTTTGCAGTTGCTCTACAGGTCGCAATTATAGACCAATCAAAGCGGAAGTTAACATGGGGCTAGAGCTTAGGGCTGGGCAGAAGCCTTCCAATTTTGATGGTCATCGGGGAATATTTAGTGGATGAAATAGACCATAACATTTGTGTTATATAAAAGCCAATTTTCTATTAATCGCGAATATTTTTAATCCCACCGAAATCACAAATAGACGAACAGGTTAACTCTGACCGTTACGTAGATGCCGATAGTAAATATATCGGATGTCTATAGCGAAATATATACAATGTATATATAGAAAGGAAGGGGATATTAGCTACAATGCTTATATCTCAAGAATGACTGGACCGATTTTGACAAATTTTGTCAATTCAGAACGCCTCTTGGCACAAAGGAATTAAATCTAAAAAATCGCATAAAAATATACCAATAATGATGTTAACATAGATTTTGTGACATATTTTTATTTTTTCGTATTTTTTATCGCATGCGATTTTTTAATTTGACTTATAATATTTTGTAATATTTTTTCACCCTGCAACACAGGTTGGGGTAGGGTGGGGCTCAGAAGGGCTAGGCCTATTGTTTTCAAAGATATCCGCAATATATTAGGGATTGAAATGGACCAACAACTGAATTTTTTCCTGATTTTACAGCCGTTATAAAAGTCACAAATAGAAACCAAAAGACACGAAATCTCTCATAAAGATAGAGTTTACGACAGCGGGTAAAATGGACCACTAATTTTGTGTAAAAAATACCAGCATTACTTACATATCCGAAATACACAAAAGGCGAAGTTTTGGCTTTTTTATGCTGATTTCGTTGACGAATATAACCAAATATCGTAGACAAGCAAATCATATAGATGAGTCTTAATTTTGAGATACAGAGGGCCTTCTTGCTTTTGAAGATGATTTCAAAATATTTAGGGGTTCAAATTAACCAAAAACAGAAATGTTTTTCCAATCACACAATTGAAGCCAATCGACATGCCTGTGAAGAAAGTTAAGGACACGGTCTTCCGTCTTCTAGCTTTTTGGATAACCATTGGATTATATTTAGCTGTAAAATGGACTACAACAACTAACAGCACGACGGAGTGTATAAATATTGGGCAATCCTAATTTCAAAAGCGAAATCTTCCAATATGGATTTGGACATATTGTAACATATTGTAGTGTTGTAGGGTATCACATAGTCGGCCCCGCACGACTATAGTCTTTGCTTACTTGTTATATATAGATATTTAAACTGGGGACATAAGGTCCAAAAATCCCTCTCAGTTCTTATTGTACTTTTATACCCTCCACATTTCTACGGACGGTACATTAGCTTTTTCATTCATTCAAAATACCAATATTCGGTATTTTGATGATTTTAGCGTCTTAATTCGCCCGAATTGTTTCAAATTTCATATTCGAAGTTTTTAATGGGTACTACAGTCAATGCCTAAACATTTCCACGTCTTCGTATAGCCCACATATAACGGTACCTCCCGTTATTCGGTATTTGTATTCGAAATTTGTAATGGGTATTAGAGCCTAAGCCTAAAAATTACGTATGCAGGTCCACGTCCTTGTATAACCGCCATATAAGAGTACCTTCCGATATTCGGTATTTTGATGAGTTTAGCGACATTATTTACCGGAATTGTTTTAAATTTCATATTCGAAATTTGTAATGGGTACTACAGTCAATGCCTAAAAATTTTGTTTGCAGGTCCACTTCTTAGTTTAGCCCCCATATAACGGTACCTCCCAATATTCGATATTTTGATGATTTTAGCGACATTATTTGCCAGAATTGTTTCAAATTTCGTATTTGAAGATCTTAAAGGGTACTACAGCCTATGATAAAAAAAATACTTATGCAGGCCCACGTCTTCGTATAGCCACCGAATAAAGTTGTAGCGTTATTTTTCGTAATTTTTTGAAATGTTTCAAGTTCCTTCCAAATCGTGGAGGGAATTAAAAGTTCGGTCCGGCCGACCTTTGCTGTTTTATTACTTTTTTATAAACTCACTTGATATTCCACTGAATGCCGCCCAGGCGACTTGATGTTTTTGTTGCATATCAATCTGAAGAGTCAAAAGCATGGGATGGATATCGAACTGGAATGCCAAAATGCTGTAGCCACTTAGAATGGTTAAAAACGGTGGCAATTCTGTGATGAACAAAACCAAATTCAATAAAAAAAATCCCCAAAAATAAGATCCTTTAAGACATACCCAGACTAACTCCTTCAAAGGGTTTGCCAATTGGCTTGGCCGCAAACAGACAGAACCACATGAGAGTCACAATGATGATCATGACACAAACGGATAAAATGGCCAATCCTCTAAAAAATAAATAAATAATATTAAAATAAAATAATTGAAGAAATAATTGGCAACCCACCTCATGTGCTTGGGACTGCCCAGCCAAACCAATGGACTTATGAACACCCCCACAATAATGGTCCAGTAACAAAATGAGAAATGAAATTCCCCATTGGTAATGCGATCTCCCACCAATTCAAGATTCTGGGCAGCCATAACAATATTGGGAATACCGGCAGCAAAGATGCTCACATCCAGGAGAATGGTAACGAAGAAACCACAATAACGACCGTAGGCCAGATTCGCAATGGCAGCATAGGGATATCTTTAAAGGTAGATAAATAATACAAAGAGATTTTAAGATTATTATTTCAGTGGTGGTTTAAAATTCTTCTTTCCCCACCTGCTCTTGTGCACAATCGATGAATCCAAACCCTCGGCCATGGTCCAGCATTCGCTCAGCAAAAACGAGGTGTAAATTTGTAATACCACCACCGAAATGACCAAAGGTATGCCGAAAAATCCCAATTCCACCAATAAAGCGGGCAGAGTGACAAACGGAAATACCCCAAACATATCCACCACATAGAGTATGGCTATAAACAGCGACAGATTCTCCTCAGCATCGTGACCCTTGGTCGGCCGAAAATGTGGCAAAGCACTAAATCGTGACCTTGTCAGAAATGGTAATTGATCACTGGACGTCTGAGCCGGACGCTGATAGGCCTTCGATGGTCTCAGCCATAATGATTTTGATGACATTTTTCCAATTTGCTAAAAGCTCTGCAAACATTAATTAATCTGCCGATACGTTTGGTGCAACAACATTGCACTTGGATTTGAAAACAGCAACTGAAGCCATGTTGCAGCCCATCTAGCCCATTGTACTAAGTGCGACATTTCCATGCAGCTATGTTATGTTGATTATTTATTCGTCTCTTTTGTCTTTCGAGTTTATTATGTTTCTAATTCAGCTAGTCTAAGAGAGAAAGTTGCGAAAACCAAAATATTAGAGTTAGGTTGTTAGGAAGCTCTGCGCCACGCTGCATAGTGGTTTGAAAAGAGATATTTCTAAAGACGAAATAATTTAAAAGTCTATCTTCGACAGAGAAAATATAGTTTAATATAGTGTAATATTCGATTTTAAAATACTCCATAGAATCTGTTGACAAAACGATATCTTGTCCAGTCAATGTGACAGGCGGTTTGGCCGCATTCTATGAGCAAATTGATGTTTATACTCTCCACCATGGTATGGAGGGTGTATTAAGTTTATATACAGGCTGAGATGAAAAAACTGCAACCAACTTCAGACTGCTGTCATTTCAAAGCCAATTGTCCGACAGCTGTTAAAATTATTCCAGTGACAGCTCATTATATTGTTTACAAGCGTGCAAAAGTATTTAGGTGAGAATTTTCCAGAAAAAAAGTTATTCGTTATGGAATTCAAGCGTGATAGTGTGATTTCTTTATATTTGGCTGGAAAATCACAAGTGGTTATCGTTAGAGCACTCCAGCAATTAAATGTGAATAAATATTATCTGTCTCGTACCATCGCACGTTACCGTGATACTGGTAGCGTAGCCCGACGTCAAGGAAGTGGACGGAAAGTAAAGAAACGACTTGATCGAAACCCTCGTCGCAGTGGCCAAAAATGGCTCGTGAGCTGAACATATCGCAATATTCCATTCGGCAAATATTGGAAAATAAGCTCGGTGTAAAGCCATTGAAATTCCAAAATGTGTAAGAACTTACACCGCAACAGAAAGAAAATAGACTCAAAAGAGCTAAAGAGTTGCTTCGCTTGGCCGAAAGTGGTAAACTGCCGAATTTGGATTTCTCCGATTAGAAAACATTCGTTGTCCAGCAGTTTGTAAAGAAACAAAACGATCGTGTTTACTTGCCAAAGAGGTCAGCTGAAAATGTGCACCTTCGATGGGCCACCAGAACTCAAGCGCCGGCCATGGTGATGGTGTGGGCCGCCATAACAGCCTATGGTCGCTCTCAGCTCGTATTAATCGACCGTGGCATCAGAATAAATGCAGAATATTATCTCGAAAATATTCCGGAGGGTGTATTAAAGCCTTGGGTACGAAAACATTTTGACAGCAGACTGGGGACAATCCATCAGGACTCAGCACTCGTAACCCATGAATGGTTACAAAATGAGGTTCCTTCCTTCAATTCCAGCGCATAATAGCCACCAAAATCTCCGGATACCAATCCGTTGGACTATTGTGTCTGGAATATTTTGGAAAGCAAGGTTGGCACCTCAAGCAAGCGCTTTGCCGAGAATGGGCCAAAATACTGTAGAGCAACATTCGGGCAGCGTGTAAATTTCATTGGCCGTTTGAAGGCCATAATTAGAGCTAAAGGTGACCAATTCGAACAAATCTAAACTTATTCTAAAATTTGATGCTATTTCCAACATTTTTTGCTTTCATTCAATAAAATGTTAAAAAAAAAAAAATGTAAAAATTATGGCGTTTGACTTTGTTGCAGTTTTTTATTTTACCCTGAATATTTTTGATCAGCATAAAATTCGATGTCGATTTTACGGGGAACGTCCGTCTCTCAGTCCGTCTTTGAAAATCACTCTTATCTTGCGCACGAATTGAAGCAGGTTGATAAAATTGTACACAAACGTGTGTTTTGTTTGTGGGACTTTTGGTATTGAAAATGGGCTATATAGGTTCACGTTTAGTTATAGCCCCCATATAACTGTGCCTCCCTATATTCGGTACTTTGATGATTTAAGCGACATTGTTCATCGAGATCGTTTCAAATTTCGTAACGATAGTTCGTAATAAGTACTACAGTCGGTGACGGAAAATTGACTATGCAGTCCACTTCTTTGCTTAGCTCCCATATAACGGTACCTCCCTATATTCGGTATTTTGATGATTTTCGCCACATTTTCGCCACACGGATTTATCTAAAAATTGGTATTTGTAGATCATAATGTATTATAGTTCTGCTGAATTTTAAGCATGGGTCCACATTTTGGAATAGCCTCCATATAACAGTACCTCATGATCTTCGGTATGTTGATACATTTTGCAACACTTTTCCACGGATTTGTCTAAAACTGGGTATTTGTAGTTAGTTATAGGTTCATAGTTTGGTATAGCTCCCGATATAATGGTTCCTCCAGATATTCGGTATTTTGATGATTCTTGCAACATTTTCTAGCAATGGGTTCTAGCTCATGTGGCAAGACATTGTACAGGGTGAGATAAAAAAAACTGCCACAAAGTCAAATGCCATATTTTTTACATTTTTCTTATACCCTACAACACTTTGTGTTGGGGGTATTACAAGTTTGATTGGGCCAAAAATTATGTAGCACCTCGAAATATTGGTTTCCACATAGGAAAGTATATATGGATCTTCCTAGCTCGCCGAGCTGAGTCGAACTAGCTATGTATGTCGGTCAGTCCGTCTGCCCATGTTAATTTGTAATCTCTCTTCAGGAGCCAGAATAGAACCCCATATTTTGGCGATGATCGCATAATATTTTGGTGTTGAAATGGATCAAAAAATTTGGAAAATTTTCTGATTTTGCAGTTGCTCTACAGGTCGCATTTATAGACCAATCGACCGGAATTGTTTAAAATTTCGTAAATGATTCATTTGAGAGATATTTTTTATAGATTTTTTTTTTGAAAAATTTCGAGTTCAGCCCGACCGAACTTGGCTGCTGTTTACTTGTTAGCTTTCAACGCGGCACGGTTGGTGCCTTGTATGCACGAATATGTGTTTGGTATTAACGATTCACACAGGCATCCGGTCTCTCAGGTATCCGGTCAGATACAATATCGTTTATTGAATCTCCTGTTGTAACCGGTAATTATATGCCTCTAATGCCCTCGTTCATGTTGACTCAGTCGACATTTTATTATACCCTACATCACAAGGTGGTCAGGGTATTATGTCTTTGTGCATTTGTTTGTAACAGGCAAAAGGAAACGAGATAGACCCATAGTTCCTTTTGATGATCTGCATAGAATCACATTCTGAGTCGATTTATGCATGTCCGTCCGTCCGTCTGTCCATGTATTTTTGTAAACAAAGTACAGTTCGCAATTATTGCCCTATCCAGATGAAATTTCGCACAAATCATTTGTTTGGCCCAAGGACGAACCATATTGGAGATAATCGGTAAAAATTTAGATATAGCTCCCATATATATCTTCGTCCGATTTGCCTTTTATTGTGCATCAGACGTGTAATATCAGTCCGAATTGTATGGAATTTTGCACATACAACTTAATTAGGCCTGAAAATAAGTATGCCAAATTTGATCGAAATCGGTTCAGATATAGCTATAGCTCCCATATATATTGTTCATCCGATTTGTTATTTTTGTCCTCCGCAGCCGTAATATACACTCTTTAACACCAATATTTGGGGAAATATTTCAAATATAGCCCAGAAATACATGTGCCAAATTTTATCGAGAGCGGTTCAGATTTGGATATAGCTCCCATATATAATTTCGTCCGATTTACCTTATATTGTGCACCAAACGTCTAATATTTGTCCAAATGGGATGGAATTTGGCACTTAGGACCGAATTTAGTCTAGAAGCTAGTATGTGAAATTTGGTGAAGATCAGTTCAGATATAGCTATAGCTCCCATATATAGTGTTCATCCGATTTGTTATATTTGTTACCCACAGCCGTAATACGGACTCCGTAACAACGATATTCAGGAAAATATATCAAATACAGCTCAGAAATATCTTTGCCAAATTTTATCGAGATCGGTTCCGATTTGGATATAGCTCCCATATATATTTTTATCCGATTTAAAATTGTGAACCAAATGGACAATACAAGTCCGAATTTAAATGATACAAATGCTTCGGCATATTTAGTCCTTTGAACTTTAAATTATTATTATAATCATAGCGTGTATGATTGAATTCTCATATAAACAATTTTTAATTGTTATGCGGAGCTCTACTAAATTAGCAAAGTGGTGTAGGGTATCATAAAGTCGGCCCCGCCCGACTTTAAGCCTTTCTTTACTGGTTTTTATACTTGAGGCTGGTGTATCCATTTGACCAGATACTACGTATTTGTCTTGTTGAACGGTTGATCATGGCATGGTTGATTAAAGCTGGTATCAACAGAAGTTCCCTGAAAAGCTTTCGAGCGAAAGAAAAATCCTCTTCACAAATAGAATCCTTGTTAGGAATTAATTTTACTTCTGATTCAAACGACAACATATTCATATATTTTAGTCGTTAGTTCTCAAGGGATTACAATTTAGCAGGATAAATTTCCAACCGATCTTCTCTACAAAGAATACTTTCTAAAAACGTTTCTACCGTCTGTGGACCTTTACAAAAATTTTCTAAAATCAGTCTTTTAAGGGAATAATTTAAACACTGTGCTGGCAATAACGCAGTGTTCTCTTTCTCGTTGTTGATGGTTTGTTTTTCTTGTTTCCTCCGTTCGATGGAAACAAATTGTGGTCAATGGAGACACAACTATGCAAATAATGTGGATGAAATTGCAACAAGTTTCCCGCATTTATACCAACTGTCATGGTGGTGCGTTCTAACTTGAATGCAATTCAAGACTTCCATTGCTCCACAATCGTAACGAATAGAGAGCAGTGCAGTACTAAAAATATATCGTCAAACAGCAAGAACCTTCTGACGCAAATCAAAGGGAAGCCCTTGATTTGCATGTGCCAAAGCAAACGAGGAAAAAACCTGGCCCCCGGCGGAAATAACAACAACAACAACAACAACAACAGCATGACGTGTTGTTACTACTGCCTCAGTTTACGTTGTAGCCAAACAATTATCGTTACTTCATTCCTGCCTACCCTGCCCTGAAGTTCACTGGAATGTCAATAACCTCCACTGGCTGAACCTTTCAAAACCAGAAGCTTTCGTTCGAAAGCAACCAGAAAAAGGAAAATGGTAAAATAACAATTATTTCAAGACACCGGC